CTTACCGGCGGTGGCGGTAAGCAGCCTATATGAAAACATGCAGTTTCGGGGAAGCGCGCCTTTCTGAAAGTTGCAGTTCCGCAATTGGATGAAAAGGCAAATTCGGGAATCTGCCTTTAAGGCCCCAGGCCGCTTGATTACACAGCGACCCTGCAGCTGCTCCACTGCGCGCTGTCCCAAGATGGGGATTCAGGGAGGGCAAGGGGCTGGCCCTCCTCCCTGTTTACCAATTCCTTCAAAGCACGCCAAACTACTTGCGACATGAGGCCTTACTGAGCTCTCAACAAGCTGCTGCCGGAGATCCTATGAAAGAGAGATGCGCCGCAGGCGCGTGAGCCACATCTCAGTTTGCAAGTGTCCTGGAACCTGCTCTTGGCGGGTGAAAAAGAAGGCTTCAGGTCACTTGGCTGAAACGGGGAAGGACGCAGCGCTTCCACAATTGTTCTCCTCATTTTTGCATCGGTTGAAAGAACGCCATCAACTTGATTGAGTGTGTAGTGTATCAGCCGCGTCCGAAACCGTGCTGAACGCTGCTGGGCGGGATGTTCAAGTTGGGCTCACGCAGCGGACGGCCCGGGGCGCCGTGCCACGCATCTGAGAGCTTGCCGGGTCACAAGGGCCCGGCGCGCCGGGTCCCGCGGTTGAGCGTGCAGGTCCGCAAGCCCCGGCGTAGGACCCTACGCGCCGGAAATCTGGCAGATTGCAGTTGCGTGGCAGATTTCTGGTGGTTTCATTGCTTTGGCGACAATCCTTCTAATTGCGATTTTACGCGATATTGCGCGCTGATGCGCGCTGCTATGCGAAACCACACATCTCGCGATCTACTTGGCGATGCCCTTGCACTTTGGGGGCCGAACTGTTGGCGTTACAACCAACGCCCGAGCCCAGCGAGCGGGAAAAGCATGCAGGGCGGTGTGTTTTGGGGCTTTAAGCCCAAAAACATTTTATTTTATTGACGTAACCCCCCCCTCAGAATTATTTTTAAGGTAGGGGGGATCCTCGAGTTTTTGCACCTCGATCACGCCGATCCCCGCCAGAGGGTCGCGCGCGCACCGACAAAAACGCAAAAAACCTCGAGTTTTTGCACCTTGACCACGCCGATCCCCGCAGAGGGTCGCATTCCCAATCGCCACACGCCCACCCCCCGCCAAGAAAGAGATTCTTAATACCGAGATCTTTCTCTTTCTTTCCCGCGCGTTAAGTACGTTACTTAACCTAACTTACTTAACCTAGCTTACACAGCTGCTAACGCCGAGCCTCTACACCTAGCTTAGCTTAGCTCTGTGCACCTAGCTCTATGCACTTGGCTCTATGCACCTGGCTCGATGCACTTCGCTCTTTGCACTTGGCTCTGTGCACTTAGCTCTGTGCACTCGGCTCCTTGCACCTCGCTCTTCTTGGCACTTCGCTCTGAGCACTTGGCTCTATGCGCTTGGCTCTTTGCACTTGGCTCTGCGCAAGTAACTCTATGCTGGTGACTCCATGCTGGTGCCTCTGCGCAAGTATCTCCATGCTGGTATCTCCATGCTGGTGACTCTGTGCAAGTATCTCCATGCTGGTGACTCTGTGCAAGCTACTCTGCGCAAGTTGACCAAGAGCTCCTGGTATCTCCATGCTGGTGACTCTGTGCAAGCTACTCTGCGCAAGTTGACCAAGAGCTCCTGGTATCTCCATGCTGGTGACTCTGTGCAAGCTACTCTGCGCAAGTTGACCAAGAGCTCCGCACGGAAGAACCCTTCGCGATGCTTTCGGGAAAAAACAAACAAACGCCTCCGCCTCCGCCTGCAGTGTCCGCTGGAGTCCTTGAAGTTGTACTCCACCTCCACCTCCGAGCTCTTGGGAGTCTTCGTAAGGATCTTCTCCTGTCGCTTGGTGCCCGACGAGCTCACCCGCGCGAAGTTGGCTCGCTCCTGCGGCCGGACGCGCGCGCGCCCAGTCGGGGGTGAAGAGGGGGGGGGGGCCTCTGAGGCACATCGCTTCAAGCACATCGATCCTGGTTGAAGACAAAATCGATGTGTTCAATCTTTCTTTCCAAGTACGTTCTAACAATGTGCTTTGCCCCATGTTGAACCAAGCGCATCCTGGGGCCACGTGACGGTCGTGGGCTGAAGGTTCAGAAATATGGAGGCACAACTCCGAACCGAACAGCCGAGAAACCCAACCATGGCAGCTTATCAACTGCCGGCGGTCCAAGGCAGCGGGAGCAGCCACAACAATAAAGCAGGACAGCTACCAACGTTATAGGCTTTGTCATGACTGTTCTGAAAAACAATCTGCAGCCAACTGACCACTTATGAATGGGACAACGGCACTCCTCACACCACCCGCTCACCCGAAATCCAAAGCCACAAACAAACATCACACACACACATCGAGTACAATGTGCTCCACGTGCCCCCGTTTCTGCGCACCTTCCACAGGAGCTGCACAATCGGGCTCTTGTGCACGCCAGCCATTTCGCCGCAGCTTCGAGCGGCGCCCAGCGGCCTCAAGGCTCTTGACGCCATTTCAGCAATGCGTGGTTGGCCGACGGCAAGGAAAATCTGGCTATACCCACGCAACGAGGCGACGGTATGGAGTGCGATGCTGCTCGGACAGTACAAGACCTGGCTCCAAATCCCCCCAGGTACCACCGGTACTGCTCACGCCGTGAAGTGGAGACCACAACAAGTCCGGCTATACCCATACAACGACCATCAAATGCCTAACATTCATGTTGTTTCTTTGGCCCTTAGCCCGGGAAATCTCGCAGGTGCCCCGTGTGTCTTTTTCCGCACAGGTTCAACGGTGTAACTCATTGAAACTTGCATGTGGCATCTATGGCACCACCTTAAAAAGACGAGGCCAAAAACGATGCTTTCCCGACTGCTCCGAAGATCGAAACTGTATATACATCCCGTCGCCTTCCTGACTCCTAATGTCCACAACATTGAAGACACAGCAACCACACCTTTAAGTTAAGACTACCCAGTTTTCAAGCCGCAGCGCAAGGCAAAGGGATTGGCGGCGTTTACACATGGTTGTCAAAACTCGAAAGCCTTGCGGTGCTTCTGTGAGTTGTTTGGCAGCCATCCGGATGCTGCATGAGCCACATGCTACCAGAATTCAACGAACTCTGCAAGGTTTTGAGCTGCAGCAAGAATACATAACAATATAACATAGATAGATAGATAGATAGATAGGATAGGATAGGATAGGATAGGATAGGATAGGATAGGATAGGATAGGATAGGATAGGATAGGATAGGATAGGATAGGATAGGAAAGATTGATAGATAGGTAGATAGATAGATAGATAGATGGATAGATATAATTATATATATATATATATATCATAGGTACTCGCGAAACAGTGGACAGGCCAGTTGTATCCAGAACATGGACCAAGCCATTCCCAAAGCCATGCAACAACTTCTTTGCCCCCGGTCGCCCCGCTTCCCCCCTCTGTACCTCGCCAGCCGCCACAGCGGCCTCGCCAACGCGAGTGCCCGCGCCATGCCGCGCGAGGCGCAATTGGAAGAGTCGGGCGGCTGACTCGGGGCTCGGGCCAAATGGTGTCGGGCAGTCCCTTTTGCGGCGCTTCAGCTCAAATGGTCCAAACCAGCACAGGAGGCTGGAACCAACTTGGGTGTTTGGGGGGTCAACTTGGGGAAGAGCTAGCAGTCCTTTTCGGGATGCAAAACGAAACCAAGCGGAAATCAGCCGTTTAGATTGGTTCAGAGGTGCTTCGCCCCAGTTTTGAAGCACACAGCCCATTCGGGTGCAAAGTACCTGCAACCTTCATGGATGGTTTGTCCAAATGGGTCGCGCTGCTGACTTTGCTACGTGCCTCGAGGGTTTACCTCTGAGCTCCCTCTGGAACAAACACAAGGCCCGCTCGACCTGAAGCACCTTCTCTGCGGCTCTATTTCCCTGTGGGGACCTCGGAATCTCGGAACCACGGCTGGCAACAAGGCATGCAACTACAAGGTTTAAGCGCGTCGAAGGCCATCGAAACAAATTCCAGCGGGGTGGTCGAAAAAAACCCTTGGATTTAGGCCCCCAGGAGGCCCCTTGAGATTATCGGCTGGGCACCTCCTGCGCTGAAGGCTTTGCTTTTCACCATCACTCGGCACTCGGCTGGGTAACGCAACCTCGCACACACCGCAGTAATAAGGCAGGATGGCAAATATCTGGCAAATAAGGGGTCGGCAAAACAGTTCAACCCGCGCGCGCATACCACAACGCCCAATGAAGGCGATGATACATGGAAAGGGACACGTAGACCCACTTAAAGCAATACGCCCCTGCAGGGCATCAACATGGTTAAACAACTGTGTCTCCCCTGACCTTCGTGCAAAAGACACATACCCTTGGCTGTCGTCCTTCGCTCGTTTGCACTGCTTGCCAATGTGTTGTTGTTTGTTTTGCCGGATCGCAAACAAGAACAAACAATCTTAAGTAACTCATAGTTTTGTTTTCCGGATCGCAAACAAGAAACAACCAAGTAATCCATAGTTGTAGTTGATGACTCCATCTGCCTCTATCTCAATGCATAGTCCATTGGAGAAGCTCTGCACAAATCCGCATGGTACGGTTTCAGCTATCGACCCTCAGGAAAGGGATGTGGAACTCTCAAGGTGCTGACCTCCTGAGTGGATGGGCCCAAAAAAGTCATATATCGATTTTCCCAGATTTTCCACAACAAAAAGGTCCACGCCCAAAAAGTTTAAGTCCAGGAACTCAGGAAGTATCAAGCTGGTAAACGAGACAGTCCTAAACCTCAGGGAAAGCATTCGTGTTCCAATCCCGACCTTGGGGTTAACATTGAGGAGACCCCCACGCCTCGGGGGAAAGTGTGGCAGCCCTGTTTTGACCCTGGTCCAAACCTCAAACCTGCCAGTTCTTGACATCTCCATTTTACCTCTGAAACTTGGGGTCAACATGAGGCACGTGGAACGTCAAGCTCGGCTTCTCCCCCGGTGCGGCCTCCGGCGAAAAAAACAAAAAAAAGGACG